TCCATTCTATCAAATGAGACCAAAAAAAGTGAGAATACTACCATAAAAACCATATGAAAAAAATCTTTCAAAGTAGTAATTTTACACCAGAAAACATGGTCACAGTATTTTCTTTTTATGCATTGCAGATGCTTCAGGATTTTTTTTTATATAGTGCACACTTACTACACACACCTGTTCTCTCACATATAGGCCCAAATTACCAGTCACAGTTTATCTGAGTAAGCCTGAGCTCATGGTGATCGACAGTGGCTTCAATTGAAGGGAAAGGTGCATTGTAATTTACTTTTTATTTATTGTTCACTGTTGTTTCTTTTTGGTGTACTTTCAGAAGCATATGTTTAGTGAACTGTGACAAAGTTATAATAGAATCCACCAACAAACAAATGAGAAATATTTACTGGGTATGACACTTGGCAGCACGACGGCACGTCCTGACACTGCCAGTAGCTTTGTGGGCACTTCCTACTGATAAAACAAAGCTATCCCAAATTTCTGATGATGTAAAATAATGTAATACGTATACCTTATCTTCATGACGAAAAAAAATATATTTGGTACATTGTTGACATCCACCAAAATACATATCTGCCTTTTACCCCCACACAAAATCCAAAATATTTGAGATATTCCAAAAGTTACATCATCAGTAGTTCAAACACACTTTGTTTTATGTTCTCTGTGAAAATCATCTCAATCTAATAATTGATAATGGTGCTACCCCAAGAAATAGGCCAAAATCTACTTCTGAGATATTGGGGAAACACAGATGTACGTACCTGATTATGTAAAAAATAAAAAAAATAAAAAAAAAATTGTGAAAATCGTGTTATTTTTGGGTTTTTCTATGCAATATTAGTGATTTCTTGTAATTTCCCCTGTATATTACACCATTTTCTCTAGTAAGAGACCAGAGATACCAGAGGGAGAACATAATCTTTTATGGCCAGGTACTTGAGTAGACCGCTGGCTGCCACACACCCCTCCCTATAATATGTCAAATATGTATTATTATTTTGGCCATCTTTATTATGGTTTTATCTTATTTATCTTATGTCTGCTATCATTTTGGAGTAAATGTGATAGATAAAACTTATTGCTAATGATAGGGTAAATACAGGACATTTTGTGGCCGATGAACAGACCACTGATGAAGCAAATTTTGTCCCTGGCTCTCTTCCTGGTCCCTCCCTCACCCCCACTAGCCCCTCCTTCTCTCCTATTTCTCCTCCCACACCATAATGATGTCTAGTGGTAAATTTAGTGTATTAGAAAGAAAAATAGGCAAGAAATAATAAAAAATTGGAAAAAATTCTAAAAATTCACTTTGTTCACACGTTTACGTGGCACGGCACCACAAGAAATGTTGAAATGACTATAATTCACTGTGGAAACATCGTATTACAATGGGATTTTCATCAAAATGTTGCCAGATTCTTAACCCTTTCAGGGTCCAAGGCCCAAATCTGGAGTCACGCACCAGTGTCCAAGAATTTTCAAAAAAAAAATTTGTTACTTTTTCTTATGAAATCGTAGAGAATCTTTTTGTGAAGGTAATAAAACAAAAAGTACGAAATTTGGTGGAAAATTGACGAAATTATGCTCTCGCGAATTTTGATATGTCAGCGATATTTACGAATCGGCGATTTTGCCGACTTTGACTCCCATTTTAGGCCAATTACATTATTCCAATCAACCAAATTCTTAGCTATTTCACTAGTATTTCTTCTATTCTATCGATTGAGCACAAGAAATCGCCAAGTCAACTGTTTCAACTACAAAATAAAGTGATCGGAAATTGTTAATTTGGCCAATTTAACACAAAGTTCAAAATATTCCAATTTCAAAATAGGGTCCACAATGAACAATGTAGGCATTCCTGGCACTAAACTAACATTTCCTCTGTTCATTAGTTATGTTTTGAGGCTTTACAAATAAATTCCATTTTGATTTTTTATTCACATATTGAATTTTTATTCACACCAAAAAATAGAAGATTTACTGTTATGCAATACTGTAATAATTGTATAAATATCATCACCATATTTGTGAATGTATATTAGACCCACCAGCTGACGTGTATTAGATGTGTGAGGTCGTTTGTTTACTCTTGAATATCGGCAAAAAATTAACATTTCCTCTACTTTGAGCTCAGTTTCAAGCCATTTCCAATGCTAAAACCAATCAAAATCATATCTATTTCTGTATTATGCCTTCCATTCTATCAAATGAGACCAAGAAATCGCAAATACAACTATAAAAAACATACGAAAAAACACTGCAAAGTTGCTGTTTTAATCGAAAAATCATGATTCATTTTTTTTTCTCTCATTATACACAGTGTGCTGCAGGATCTGTTTTATGTGGTGCACACATACCACATAGATGTATTCTCTTATATCTAGGCCCAAATGTCCCACTCACAGTTTATCAGAGTGAGCTGAGCTCATGGCATAGATCTACGGTTTGGACCCTGAACGTAAAGCCGTAGATCTACGGGACGGACCCTGAAAGGGTTAAACTATTTTTCTTCAGACAACTTACTTTCTATATTTTTTTTATTTATTTCCTTACTCCATGCACTGCATAGAGTAACCTGTCTCTTCAAAGCCACCTTAGCTTTTATAGACAATGTACGTTGTGCTTTACAAAACGAGAAGCATTTCTTTTATTCATTGGAACCATGGCTAGGGCTAAAAGTGAGTAGGGTATAACAATAAATGGAGAAAAAGTAATTGGAATGACTTACACAGCAAGTAGCTCCACCAAACAGTAGTGACAGGTTGGTGTGGCAACTCCAGAAATTTGAAATTATGCTACTGAAATTAATGACAGATTATTGATGGAACCGGATTACCGATTGCCAGATTAGCGATGGCTGGCCTATACTAAAACTAATCTCTATTTCTGTTATATGTCTTCCATTCTATTAACCCTTTCAGGGTCCAAGGCCAAAATCTGAAGGGGTGCCCCAGTGTCCAAGAAATTTAAAAAAAAAAAAAAAAAAATTCTTACAGAATTAAAGATAATATTTTTGTGAAGGCAATAAAACAAAAAAAAAATTTTTCTGATCAGTACTTACTGAGATACAGCAGTGGGAAGTTGACCCAAAATGACTGGGTGGCGGCAACATCAGTGACTTCCGCAAAATCGCATTATTTTATTTTACATTTTTTATACATTTTTCTAATTTTTTTCTTTTTCTAATAACATTTGTGGCCTGTGAGACCAGTATAATGTATATTGTATAAGTGTACACTTATTGTATTCAACACAATAACTGCACTAATTTGTTTATCATTATATTGCTTACAAAACTTGTTTACAAGTTTATTGTAAACAAAATGATGAAAATATTAGTGCGGTTATTGTGTTGAATACAACGGTACCATATATTACCATATGGTACAATGGTGCCATAGGGTGCAATGGTACCATATAGTACAATTGTACATATGGTATAATGGTACCATGTGGTACAATATGGTACAATAGCACATGATACAATGGTACAATGGCACCATTTGGTACAATGGTACCATATGATACAGTGGTACCATATGGTGCAATGGTATCGTATGGTACATTGTACCATACAGTACAATGATACCATATGGTTCATTGTACCATATGGTACTATATGGTACTGTTGTATTCAGCACAATAAACATAAATATTTTCATCATTATTTTGTTTACAATAGTTGTTTACAACAAAAATATGCAAAAATGTTGTATATTAGTAATGTTCTATTATATATTTAGAGATGTATAGGAACTCGACATGTTCCTTGAGGTGGATGACAAAGCGCTTTGTCTTGGAAACTGCGGAGTCAGTAGCTAGCTTGCGTCGCCACTCACTCAGTCTTGGCTGGTGTCTCATGCCACCAACACCTATTGACTATATGGTACACAGTATCATATGTTACAGGGTACCATATGGTACATTGTACTATATGGTATAGGGTACCATGCAGTACAGGATAACATATGGTGCAGGGTACCATATGGTACAGGGTACCATATGGCACAGAGTACCATATGGCACAGGGTACCATATGGTACAGGGTACCATATGGTACAGGGTACCATATGGCACAGAGTACCATATGGCACAGGGTACCATATGGTACAGGGTACCATACAGTACAGGACACCATATGGTACAGATACAGGGATCCCTATGGAAATAAGTCACCTTGACTTTTTGGGTTATCCTAGGATTTTATACGTATGCTGCTATGTATAATAATCTATATAATTGTATTTCTGTACACCTGAATAAACTTACTCAAGTGCATGTGGCATCATAAGTAAGTTTATTTAGGTATACACAAATAAAGTTACATAGAATATCATACTTAGCAGCATATGTTTGGAGAACCTAGGATAACTCAAAAAAGTCAGAAAGACTTATTTCCATTAGGGTCCCTGTACCCTGTACCATATGGTACCATTGTACCATATGATACCATTGTACCATATGATAACATTGTATGACATGGCACCATTGTACCATATGGTACCATTGTACCATATGGCACAATGGTACCATATGGTTCAAAACCATAGAATTTCTCTTCAGGTCCACTTCCATCAGTCTTAGAACTATAAGTTGTGAAGAGGAGAGTCAGAATTCACCCAGAGAGTGAGTGGGGAGTGAGAGCTTCCTTGCTGCCAGGCATGATGAACAAAGCTACTTTGCCAGCGTTCCCACAATGACATGCGGGCGTCCAGATTTTTTCTAGAGTGTGTACACTGACCACCCAGACCCATTCTCTCAGATGTAGGCCTACCAGCCTTCTCACGCTAAATTTGATGCCGCTAGAATTTTGGCATAGATCTACGGTTTGGACCCTGAACGTAAAGCTGTAGATCTACAGAACGGACCCTGAATGGGTTAAATGAGAACAGGAAATCATGAATACAACCATAAAAACCATAGGAAAATACACCACAAACTGTGTTTTAATCCAAAAACATGGTCACAGTTTTTTTTTCTCATGCACTGCGTGCTGCAGGATTTGTTTTATATGGTGCACACTTACCACATAGATCCATTCTCTCATATCTAGACCCAAATTTACTGCTCACAGCTTATCTGAGTGAGCTGAGCTCGTGGCATAGATCTACAGCTTGGACCCTGTGGAGTGAAGATAATTTATTTTATTTTTCTTCCCAGGAGCAAGTTCAGAAATTAGTGGTTGGAACTATCCCTCGATCACTTTGGGTGACACTTGAAGATGACCTTGTTGATGCTTGTAAACCTGGAGATGATGTTTTAATCTGGTGAGCACAAATTTATTTTTTGTTCTTGTTTGAAAGTATACAGCGGTACAGTGAATATTTCTGTGTTAATGACTACAAAACTTTTTAGCCTAGTAAAGTCTTTACAGTGGAACCTTGGTACTCAAACTTAATTCATTCCAGAAGGCTGTTCAAGTGCCAATCTGTTTGAATGCCGAACGAACTTTTCCCAATCAATTTTTTTTTTTTGGTTGGCTGTTATCACTAATCTTTGTAGGTCCCATGGTGACTTATTTGTACATATACATCCTCTCTTCCCTTCATCAACAACAGCCTTCAATACATGTAATTGTCATGTTGAATGTTCATTCTTTTGTGCATGTAAATCTATCTTTAAGGTAAAAAACTTTTTTTATTGATACTTTTGGGTGTCTGGAACGAATTACAGTGGAACCTTGACTTATAAGTTTAATCCATTCCAGGAGCTAGCTCGTAATTCAATTTACTCGTATATCAAATTAATTTTCCTCATTTAAATTAATTGAAAAGCCATTAATTCGTTCCTGCACTCAGGAGAGACCAGAAAAAATACTTGAATATGATGCTGTTATCAACTGTATGGCTTATTTATCCATCACAATTTATCTGATATGACATAATAAACAATATAATTAGCACAGAAACATGATATATACTCTAGAATGAATAAAATAGGCCATAATATAGGGCAGAGGAAGTAGCAGCGGCAGAAGCGTCGGCCATTTCTGTCCCAGTATGACTAGTATCTTCCCATGTTCTTAATGTAAGAGAAAACAGAGTATTTTTGAGGCTAACTGCAGTAGATCACTAGGACCCATGGTTAGAAAAAAGAAATTTGGCTAAATGACTGTAAAAAAATGCAAGCAAGCATGAGAGAACTGCCCCCACAGGGATGTAAACATATTTACTGCTTACCAGCTGTGCAAACTAGCAGAAGCTATATGAGTTATTACATATGTATTATTCATTATTATTATTATTATTATTATTATTATTATTATTATTATTATTATTAATTTAGGGAACTCAAGCTCTATCATTATTATAATAATAATTATTATTATTATTAATTTAGGGAATTGAAGCTCAATCGTTTTAATAATAATAATAATAATATATTATTATTATTAGTAGTATTATATTATTATTATTGTTATTATTATTATTATTATTATTATTGTTATTAATTTAGGGAACTGAAGCTCTATTGTTATAATAATAATAGTAATATATTATTATTATTAGTATTATATTATTATTATTATTATTATCATTATCATTATTATTATTATTATTATTAATTTAGGGAACTGAAGCTCTTTCGTTATTATAATAATACAGTAGACCGCCATTGAATAGTTGCTTCACAATTTTATGTAGCACGTTGTATAATTAATTTAACATGGTTCAGTTTGTGGGAAGGAAAAAAAAATTCTCTTTTGCTCAAGTAGCCGCCTTGTTGTGTAGCAGCTGGGGAGCCCTCCCCTACCACCCCCCACACCACCCCATCATCCCCTACCACTCCCCGACACCACCCTCCACCATCCCAGTCTTTCTCTGCTACAAGGCAGCTGTGTTTGTCAATTGTGTTATGATATTTTTTTTCTTTATTAACACACTGGTCAATTCCCACCAAGGCAGGGTGGCCCAAAAAAGAAAAACTTTCACCATCATTCACTCCATCACTGTCTTGCCAGAAGGATGCTTTACACTACAGTTTTTAAACTGCAACATTAACACCCCTCCTTCAGAGTGCAGGCACTGTACTTCCCATCTCCAGGACTCAAGTCCGGCCTGCCGGTTTCCCTGAATCCCTTCATAAATGTTACTTTGCTCACACTCCAACAGCACGTCAAGTATTAAAAACCATTTGTCTCCATTCACTCCTATCAAACACGCTCATGCATGCCTGCTGGAAGTCCAAGCCCCTCGCACACAAAACCTCCTTTACCCCCTCCCTCCAACCTTTCCTAGGCCGACCCCTACCCCGCCTTCCTTCCACTACAGACTGATACACTCTTGAAGTCATTCTGTTTCGCTCCATTCTCTCTACATGTCCGAACCACCTCAACAACCCTTCCTCAGCCCTCTTGTATCTGCCAAGCAGTCATGACACCCAGTAGCCATACCAGTGTTGCTGAAAGTGGCACGAAGAGGTATAAGCACTTAAGTCTCAGAATTAACAAAGATATTAGACAAGAGATAACCTGTAGCCATAACTGAAGTGTTACTTTGTACACAGAAAAAGAGGTTAACATGAGTTTGTGTAACTGACTGAATGACTGACTTACTGAATGACTTGACTGACTTACTGAATGACTTGACTGACTTACTGAATGACTTGACTGACTTACTGAATGACTTGACTGACTTACTGAATGACTTGATTGACTTACTGAATGACTTGACAGACTTACTGAATGACTTGACTGACTTATTGATTGACTTGACTGACTTACTGATTGACTTGACTGACTGACTTACTGAGTGACCTGACTTACTGAATGACATGACTGACATACTGAGTGACTTGATTGACTGAATGACTTGATTGACTTACTGAGTGACTTGACTGTAATAATAATTTATTATTATTATGTTATTATTATTGCTGAGAAGAAAAAGATAATGATTTCCATGGAATTAAAGCATGAAATCATAGATAAACAAGCGAGATGTCCAGGTTTTGGGTTGAGGGGGAAGAGGGAGGGGGGAGCTGGCTCGTAACTCAAATGTTGGCTCGTATTTCACAGCAAAAATTCAACCCAGGGACGGCTCATATCTCAAATAACTCGTAAGTTGGGACACTCGTAAGTCAAGGTTCCACTGTAATTGGATTTACATTATTTCTTATGGGGAAAATGGATTCGCAAATCGTCAATTTTGATAATAGTCACACTCTCTGGAATGAATCAATTACGAAAAACGAGGGTCCACTGTAATGTATATTAGAGCTGATTTCCTCTATTCTCTTTATTACATTATACAGTACACTATTGTATAAACATCTAAAAATATATCACAAATGTTATAAATGGTGCAAAGGTGACATTAAAACAATGCTAAAGATGATAAATTAGACACATGTGCAACAATTGGGTATCTTTAATGAGGAAATGTTTTGCCACACAGTGGCTTCATCAGTCCATACGAAGGAGAATTGTGAAGAACAGGAGGAGTTTGAGGTAATCAGTCCCTCAGCCTTGAGTTGATGTAATCAGTCCATCAATCTTGAAAAGAATACAGCATATGTGCAAAGAAGTGGCTTATATATATTGTAGGCAGGAGAGGTGCAGTAGTCGTAGGTGGTGTCACATTTGACGAATGTGGAAGTAGGTCATGCCCAAGGGTTAGGCAAGTGAAGAATTCCCTGTATTAAGATCCCAAGATGTTGCTGTGTCAGACAGGAATGTAGATGAATGGTTCAGAGAATAATAATAATAATACAATATAATAATAATAATAGTAATAATAATAATAATAATAATAATGAGTAACTTCACTAGTTGCCACTAGTTGGCACAGCGCACTGTTTACACTCACTGTGGAAGTATTTTTGTCCTGCTTTGTTTACCCTCACTGTGGAAGCATTTTTGTCCTGCTTTGCTTGCATTATTTCATCTATTTGGCCAAATTTTTTTCTAACCATGGGTCCTAAGAAAGTAATTGCAAAGGACAGTGCTGAGAAGAAAAAGAGGATGATTTCCATGGAATTAAAGCATGAAATCATTGATAAACAATTGAGGTGCAGGTTGCGGGTTGAGGGACGCCGCTCTGCCTATCTTTCACCCTCCACCCTTTCTCCCAGATAAATACAGTGGCACCCTGATTTTCGTCCTTAATCTGTTCCAGAAGGTCGGTTGAAATCCGAAATGGATGAAAACCAAAGTAATATTTCCCATGAGGAATAATGTAAATCCAATTAATCCATTCCAGACATCCAAAAATATTAACAAAAAATACATTTTATAGAGAATAATTATAATTTTACATACAGAAAACAATGAGAAATAAATATAAAGAACTAATTTTTATGGATAAATGAACATTTAAATCATTATTACATACCTTTATTGAAGACTCTTGTTGAGCTAGCCTTTGCTGGCTTTAAATTCACTAACAGCAGCACTTGTTCCAGGCATTTTCTTTATGAGATCCGCATGCAACTGCCTTGCCTTTTCACAAATTATCCCCTCCAAAACACTATCTCCCACTAACTGTTTTGCATTGATCCACACCAACAACAACTTATCCATATCTTCCATTGTTTGTGACCTCTGTTTCGTAAGCACATTCACCCCTTTCACAACATCAGCTTCCTTGATTTTTACCTTCTTCCTCAGGATGGAATTGATTGTTGATTTGGACTTCTCATACATCCTGGCGAGCTCAGCCACGCATACGCCACTTTCGTATTTTGATACAAGCTCTTTCTTGAATTCTATCGTGTTTCTCACCTTCTTTACCCCTTTACCACCTTCTTTGGCCCCATGGTGGCTTATTTCACAGTCGCACTCAGTAAACAAGCACCAAAAACAATGGATGAACATACGGAATATTGTTCGCTCGACAAGTGACAGAGGCAGACTGAGTCAGGCAGCGGTGTCCCGGGTGGGTGGACACATCTGATACAGACGATTTCTGAGTCGATGTACAAAACCAGGAGTAAAAATTCACCGAAAAAAGTGGTTGAAATTCGAATTGTGTGATACTTGGACTGGACAAAAACTGGAGTTTTACTTTATGTACACTTTATAAAGCCAGTTTATTTCTTTACATTCTACAGTGGACCCCCGCATACCGATGGCATCACATAACGATTAATCCGCATACCGCTTGCTTTAATCGCAAAATTTTTGCCTCACATACCGCTTAAAAACCCGCTCACCAATTTTTGTCCGAGACGCGTCCAATGTGCGGCCTGAGCCACGCTCACATGTTCCGCCGGTGGCATTGTTTACCAGCCAGCCTCCGCGGTAACATCCAAGCATACAATCGGAATA